CAACTAATCCTTTCCTAAATTTTATTTTCTTAATCTATAGAATGGAAATAGAAATCTTTATATTTACTTCTTAAAATAGTTGTGAGAAATAAGAGTTTACTTATGTGGAGTAGTGAGCAAAATATATTCAACTAAAGTGCTTGTAGACTTTGAATGATATACAACTGTGATTATGGGTGTTTTACTGAACTTTCTAACTCTACTGAATTTCTCAATAATTTGTTAAAGAAGATTTGACCAGGTAGGATGTTCTGTACTGTCCTACATTTGGGGAACATCTCTTATACCCAGTTATTATGCTGCTTGCAGAGAATGATTTGCTGTTTCTTTTCAGGCCATTTTCCATCTACAGACACACTGTTTCTGGCTCTGAGTTGTGTGTCCTCTCAGTTCATGTGATTATGCTCAAGAGGGGTATGGGAGGAAGGTGCACCTCAGGTTAAGGTAAGAATGATCTATGTTTCATTCAATTTATTTAAATGCCCTGTAAGTTGACAGGCTTTTCAACCAGGCAACTCTGTGAGTCTGACTGGGGTCACATAATAGGGCCAGTGTGGAGCTAACCAAGCAGGAGGCAGTAAAAATAAACAAGAGGATGTGTGTCTTTGGGGGAGGAATATTTTCTTGATGGAGTAGGTAGGAGGCACGAGGTACACAGAAAACCACAAATTACCACCAATGGAGCCATGAGCAATTAACAACTGCATAGGGTAATGACAGTCTGATAAAGATATTTCCAATGTGGAAGCAGGCTTTGTTTCACTCAGGATATTTCTCTGTCAGACTTCCTTCATTTCCTGCTTCCCCTGTAAAACTTGAACAAGTTTCCTTGAGAACGACAAGAGAAGGGGACTTTGATTTACTCTGTGTATTTGAGTTGGCTCTTCCTTCACTTATAACAGACCGAAAACACTCCAAGAGAGTGCTTCATTCTAAGAGAGGGCATCACTGAGTTAGAAAAGACAAATGCATTTCTTTTACTTCTTTTTGAGGCACTAGCAACCAATTTTCACAGTTTGCTAAAATGTAGTTAATCTATGCACGGATTAACTTCCTATTTCATTACATATCTTTCATAGATTTTTCACAGTCTTTCAGTGGAATGTAAATCCCACCTTTTTTTGCCACTCTAAGGTGAAAATTAGCCATCAGCTCTGCAAATTGTTGGAGAGTTGGCGTTAACACTGAGGAATCAATTGAGAAAACTCAAGTCAAAAAAATTGAAACTAAAACAAATCAGAGGGAACTTTTATAGACATGGTTGTCTTTTTAGTTTCAAAGTGTATTTGATTTTATTCCCTTTAACAATGTCTTTAATTAAAAGTAATATAATTTATTTTGGAGGCAGCGAGAGGGCAGGAATCCAAATATGAAATGTGATGACAGAATGGTTGCAGGGCAAAGAGTCCTCATATCACATCTAGAACAAGGTGACAACAGGCCAATTGACTTAGTTTATGCTAACCTTTATGGCTTTTCACAAAGTGGGAATTTCGTGAATGTTTTGGATGATTTTATGTTGCAAGCAATTGCAGGCTTGGCTTCTTACAAGTGCATTCTTGTACCAAAAGATATTTCAGGTTAAGAATGTAGGACTACCAGTTTTCAGTGGTAGTTTTTAAATCCTACAGTTAGAAAAAAATATATTAATTCCTACATACAATATTTTCATGCAGCTTTCAGAGTAATATCTATCTCTCCCAGATGGGCTCTGAGAGCCCATTGGATCCACCCAGAGCCCTGGGAAGAGAAGGCAAACCCATATTTTGAGGAGCTAGTGAGAGGAAGGTTATATGCAATCTTCCAAATTATAACTGCTCATCCATAATCTTAATCCTGGTGCTTCAAAGGCAGGTGAAGACTAGACTGAGCAAAGCTGGTTGCACTTAGGAGAAGGAGCCAGGACAAGCCAGGCAGCATGGAACTGCCCAGACCTGGGAGTTCAGAGTAAGAAGAAAGTTTTCTTTCCAGAGGTACTCAGTGTACTTGATGATTCTTGATGAGTTTTCATTGTTCACATCAGTTTTAAATTGCAAGAGTAGTAAAATTAAGAAGCTCCACAAAGTTAGAGATAGTCAAAGAAGAAAATAGTTTGGGCAGAAAATGGTGAATAACAGTGGAAGGGGTATGTATGTACTATAATAGATGAGGAACTTTTTGAACAAGTTTACCAGTTACTTATAGTCAAGTACCCACATCACCGTAAGTTTCATTAAAATTATTTACATTATGCCCTCCCTGGTGGCGCAGTGGGTTAAAGCACAGCACTGAGAATCTAAAGCCACTTTAGCCTGAGTTCGATTCCCGCCTGCCCGGGAGGTGACCACATGGCGTGGCAGACCTCTCCTGACCCGCCCGCTGCTCCCCTCAGCAGTGTACTTCGTTGATCTGCCTGTTCTGCTCCCCACTCTGTCTCTGGTGAAGCCTCTCGCCGCCCCTGAGCCTCTGGCCTGTACCCCAGTTCTGTATGCACAAATAAATCTTTAAAAAATATATTTACATTAAAAAAACTAGTATTTTTAAATATTGTTAGATAATATATGCACATGGATTATTCACATAGAAGTTAATTTTTACTCAACCTACAACAACAACAAAAAAAGTTTTGGTACAGATGTGCAAGATTGATTCCTTAAATGATATAATCATGGTCAATTGAGGACCATGACATTGTCAAGGAAGTTAAAGAATGTGGCTAGGGGAAAGGGTTGGTATACTCATACGTCAGACACAGAAGGTCTTCCTCAAGGGAATATGATGACATGTGTTGGAAATTTCAAAATTATGGAGGTCTTAGGCTAAAATTTTACCTTTTACAATAACTTACCCATGTACGTAAGGAATTACATTTGCAAACTATCTACAATAATAGTTTATTTTGAGAATATTTATAATGAAATATGGGAACCATGGGAAGTTTCACAATGGGGAATTGACTTAATGAAGTCTGTCTGCATGGCATATTATGCAGCCATAATATTCCAAATAAAATAGACAAATATGCAATAACCTGAGGAAATGTTCATGAAACAGTGCCATAGAAAAGGTACCTTAGAAAAGAGCATCTTGTTTGAAAAATATATAGGGATAATCAATGAAAGATACAAGTATATTAACAATGTTTGAAAAAAGCCTGAAAAAAATCTATGCCGCGGCATTGACAAATATTTTAATTTCCTACTTTTGAATCACTAATATTTTCATATTTGAAAAATGAAAATTAAACAATTAAAATAATTTTCTGTTACATTATTTATACCTACTAAAGATAGAAAAATTGTGTCAGAGTCTACCAATGTAATAAACATTTTGTGCCAGAATTTATGAAAATATGCCAAGTTGAACTTCTTCTTTTCCACTTTTATTAATAAATAATTGACATATATCAGTGTATAAATTTAAGGTATACAACATGATGGTTTTATCTTTACATACTATGGAATGATTACCACAATAGGCTCAGCTAACATTGATCTAAATTTTAGAATCTAAAATTGCTTTTATTTCTAACAATTCTTTTATTTGTTTTGCACAAAGTACTCTTTTGCTTAAACTTTTGTATTAACAAAAGGGATTTAATATAGCAAGTTGTATCTAAGTTTTAATATATGAACAGAAAAAGAGATAGTTATTCTCCGTAATACTCCTATCAGCTGTTTTCATAAATAAACTAAGGAATAGTAGGTCATAGGAACCTCCCTAGACCTTATCTTATGCTTCCATCTGATGCCCACAGGCACTTGGTAGGCCGCAGTAGGCAGGTGTGTCTTAAGAAGTTCATGGCTAGTGTGGTGCAGTGTAATATGATCTCTGATAGTGGGGAAATCCCAGATGGTAAGGTATAGGATGGATGCCACAGCGGTGCAGCCAGGAGGGGGATGGAGACAAAGGAGTGGCATTGAAGTGGAGGGGTAGTGGGAACTCAAAGTGAAAGGGGCTTTGCACTGGCCAGCAATGGTGAGGCACATCCAGATGACTCCTGAGATAAATTAAGTGTTGTACAGGCCCCAGCTATTAAGCTCAATACAGAATTCTCTTCCTCTGCCTGTCCTAAATTTGGATTTATCTTGTGGTACTTTCATGATATTTACTGAAGGTCTATAATGTGCAGAGGAATGTGTTAACTGTTGTTACAGATTAAATAAACAAATAAAAAACAAACTGTGATGGGGGGCTGCCCCCAGATGTCTATGATCTAGTCAGGTTGTTACTATAAAAGCTCATACAATAAGGGATTAAAATAAATTCTATGAGCCCTCTCTGGTGGCACAACAGGTTTGGAGCATAGCACAGTGAAGCTAGCCACAGCCACTGCAACTTGAGTTCGATCCCCGATCAGGGAGGTGACCCATATGGCACAGCAGACCTCTCCTTCCTTGTCTGCTGCTCCCTTTAGCAGTGTACTTTGTCAGTCCTGCCTATTCTGCTCCTCACTCTCTGGTGAATCTCTCACCCCCATAACTCTGGTCTGAGCACTAGTTCTTGTGTGTATAAATGGAAAGATCTTTTTTTAAAAAAATGCTATATCCTTTCCATCTCTTTAAGTTTGTTTTGTGTCTAGCAGAAAGGGTTTAATGTTAAGTGCCAGTATTATGCTTTTGATGTTCTTTTAACACTTACTGATCTAAAGGAAATTTAAAAAAAAAATCAATGATTTTAAAATATATACCCAGCACTGTTCCTATATGAAGAACATCTGCCTTACTAGTTAATTCATAACTCTATAATCTTTGTCCTCATTGCATTAATACAAAAGTTTGACAAAAGTTGTGGGCTTCAACAAATACTTGGTAAAATCTTGCCCAAAATGTTAATTTTTTGCACAAAAAATCAACAGTATTCAATAAGGAACTTACTGTCTTTCATCTATTTTACTTGAGTTTTCACCAAAACTTAAATGCTATAGGTAAGGGGCCGATCTCCCACTCCCAAATTTAAACATCTTTCTGAGCTAAGTAAGAAAACAATACACCTGAGCCTCCTTTCCTACTTGTTTATATTCACATGTCATTGAATTCATTTGGATCTTTGAATACTTGGGCTTCAAATTCCATCTGGTTCTGTAAAACAAAATTGTTCAAGTTGGTACAGATCTCCAAAGAAGGTAGAACAAAACTTGTGACACATGTTTTCCCAGTCATGGATAGCAGTGGCGCTTATCATATTCCAAAAACAAAGTGAAGCCGTAGGTCACAAAAATTAGCAAGACTGTGTGACCATCTCTCCAGAAATCTCCATTCTAAGTGGAAAGATCAATCAGAGACTGAATCATTTAATTAACTACAATTAAACACCAACAAGGTGAGCACAAGGTGGACACTGGGGAAGTAACTCATTAACAATCATGCTTGCATGAGAAGCAGAGGTATTTCAAAGATCAGCAAAGAAGGAAGGGGTGTGGTCCAGTAAAACAAGGACCCAAAACCTAAATCACTATGATTAATTAAAAGGAGGGTATGATGACATTGGCAAGAGCAGTTTTGGGAGTGGACAGGAAGAAACGTTACCAGTGTAGGTCACACACATGGACAACTCTTTCAAACACTCAGTTATGAAAAAGAACGCTACAGTGACAGAAGGAGTTCACAATTAAATTATCTAATTTTCCTTCTTTCCTTTATTTCTCTTCTACCTTCCACTCCTGCTCCTTCTCTTCTCCATCCTCTTCTCCACCTATTTCTCATCTCTACCTAACTTCTTCATATTTCTTCTTTCTTCCTATATCTTTTTTATCACTCCCTAACCCCCCATTCTTTTCCCCTATCTTCGTATGTTTCTCAGAATAAGTTTTGTTCCATTTAAATTGTGATAGGACATTTTAGTAGTGGGGGGGAGAAGTTATGATTTGGGGTATAAATAAAGGTATAAGACAGACTTCAGGCAATGAAAGAAGACTGATACAGAACACTTTTGAGATTCATGCATGTATCCACTCAACATTTTGTAGCACCTACCATGTGTTACATACAGTTTTGGGGAAAATATTGTAGAAAAAATACTGAGCCCTTCCTCTCAGGAAGCTTGCATCTATATGTGGAGATAATTAATAAGTGCCTGAATAAATATACTCCACATAGTGATAAGAACTATGAAGAAAAAAAAAGGAGCAAGGGTTAAGGATAGAGTAGTAGCTAAGATAGCCAATGTAATTGAGCAAACTTTGATTGAAATGGGAGTCTAAAGCACATGAAGAGCTGAGGAAAACACATTCTGGAAAGAGACCATAGTAGCTACAAAAGAAACTCGGGAAGAATAGCAAGGCTGGTGTAGCTCCAATGGCAAGAGAGAAGAAAGATAGGAAGCGGGCTTAGAGAGAGATAATGAAGACTTCTGAACTCACTGAGGGGTACTGAGAAAGGGAAAGGCATTTAAGAGTTTAAATTCATGAATTTTGGAGAATAATCAGTTTAAGCAAGAACTACTGATCTAGACTAGGTGACAGATGATACTCGTGGATTTAGATTGGTTACCAACAGAGGTGAGGAGAATAATTTTATATCGAAGGAAACATTTTGAAGGAGTATCTAGTAGTGCTTCGTGAAAGACATTGAGAATGAATCAAATTTTTTTTGTCTGAACTGAATATATGGGGGTGTCATTTATTGAGATGGGGAGTCTAGGGGAGGTGAAAGTTGTGGAGTGATATCAAGAAATTATAAACTGAAAATTATGAGTAGATAATTCAAGAAACAGAGATTGTGGGCTTCCCTGGTAGCACAGGGGTTAAAGTCTCAGTGCTATCAGTCTATAGCCAGACACTGTGACCTGAGTTTGACCCCCTGCCATGGAAGTAACCCACAAGGTGCAGCAGACCTCTCCTGTCTCACTGGCTGCAAACCTTCAGCAGTGTATTTCAGTAGATCTGCCTGTTCTGTTCCCCACTCTGTCTCTGGTGAATCCTCTTATCCCCGCCACCACCTGCACCTCTGGCTAGACCACAGGTGTTGTATGAATAAATAGATATAAATAAATCTTGTTTAAAACAACAACAAAGGTTGTGGTGGGGGAGGTGTTTGCTACATGTAACCAACTGCTTAAAATCTTTTAGTGAATCCTCAAGATATTCAGGATAAACTCCAAGCTCTAAGACTCATAGTACTTAGTCCTTCTATACATCTCCAGTGTCAGTCTTATATCCAGACCAAACGCCTTCTAAGGTAGATTCATGTATAGCTCTTGTTAAACTCTCATTCATATGTAACATCTTTGCTTGGATTATCCTTTTCCATGTAGACTTGACTGTCCTTACAAATCCAGATAAACCTTTCAAGTCCCACAAATCATTTACATAGCACCTTTCAGCTGATTTCAACTGCTACCCTATTTCATAACTCTACAAACTCTATTTAGCACCAGATATTTTGTGAATGAACTTGAATAAGTTGCCCAAATTCTCTGAGCTGGTATCCTTATTAGTATTCTTAGTAAAATGAAGTAGGTAAAATAGTACCTAATATTTCACACCTGTCTCAGGTGTGAAAGGGATTAAATGAGGTGACAGGGAGCAGAGTGAATACACACTGCTTGGCATAGATCAAGCATTATTTAAGTAATTACCATTGTAATAATACTCATGACACTGTTATGTAACTATATTCAAGTTGATTTTTCCCAGGAAAATATTTGAATGTAATCAATGAGCCTTTCATCCATGTTTTTGGCACCAATTAAGCCTGAATCATTATTTTATATATGAATGAATGAATGAGAAGAAGCAGTATTGGGTTATAATAGTGCAATGAAATGAACAAACAGCTTCTCTTTCAGTGGGTTTTCTCTACTGAGAAGTTATGCCTTATAGGTTAATGTGGTTCTTTTAATACATTACTCGCCAATTTAAAGGTAGTTGGTCCTACAATATATTTTGACACTACTCACTTAAAATTATATCATTACCTTTGGATCAGGTAGACATGGTCCAAAAGCTTCTAGTAGCAGGGTCTCTTCTCTTACAGCTTTTTCATAATCTGCAAAAGACAACTTCCCATCATGGTCGTGGTCCTACAGGGAGTGACAAAACATTTGTCAGTCAACCCATAAAATATTATTGATTTTGATTTTCATGGTCAAGCAATAGTGGAAAAAGGATGTCGGTAAAGTAAGTTACTAAACATTAAGATTGAAAATAACTTTTAATAGTATAATAAAAAAGCAGAACCCAGATATTTTATTTCATCAAGCAGAAAGCTGATAATTATGTAACTATATAGTTTGAATTATTTTTCTATTCCATATATGGCCTTCAATTTCAGTTTCATTGTTCATATTTACCATTTTCTTAAGTGTTATTTCAACCAAATCTTTAATTCCTTCATCAGGATCTTCTTCAGATGGCTGCTTGAGAAGGCTGTTCTTCAACATATGGAACATTTCCTCTTTTGAAATAAATCCATCACCATTCAAATCAAAAACTTCAAAGCAATCTATAAAAATAGCAAAATATGAATTTGATAGTATCAATAAGGAAAATCTGCTCTCTGATAAAGTTTTCAAGACCAAAGTCTATATTTTGATGCTTTTAACAATTCTGCATAAATTGCAAATTTAGGCCATCTAATTTCCATAGCAAATGCTTAATGTGCTCTCATTGAATATATTCAACAATGCTTAGAAATAATTTATTTACACTTAGCCATAGAAAACTATGCCAACAGGGGGCCTCCCTGTTTGCAAAAGTGGTTAAATTGCTATACTATGAAGCTGTCTGTAGCCACTGCAGCATGAATTTGCTCCCCTGCCAGGGTGGTGATGTACACGGCTCAGCAGACATCTCCTGTCTAGCCTTGATGTTCCCTTCAGCAGAGTAATTCAATAGATCTGCTTGTTCTGCTCCCCACTGTGTTTCTGGTGAATCTTCTCACTTCCTATACCTATGGCCTGTATGCCAATTCTTGTGTGCACAAATAAATAAACCTTTAATAAAAGAACAGAAAATCATGCCAAGGAACAACTTGAACATTTTCACCTTGAACTTCTTGGAAAACTGATTGACATATGACCCTTAATAGTTCATCAGATTTAATTAAGAATTTGCTAAGAACATTGAATAAGAACATTGAATTGGCCCTCCCTGGTCGCACAGTGGGTTAAAGCACAGCACTGAGAAACTAAAGCCACTGCAGCATGAGTTCATTCCTGCCTGCCCCGGAGGTGACCACATGGCATGGCAGACCTCTCCTGGCCTGCCCGCTACTCCCCTCAGCAGTGTACTTCGTCAGTCTGCCTGTTCTGCTCCCCACTCTGTCTATGGTGAAACCTCTCGTGGCCCCTGAGCCTATGGAGTATACACCAGTTCTGTATGCACAAATAAATAAATCTTAAAAAAAAAAGGACATTGAATTAATATTCCTTCCATTTATGGTTACGATTCAGTAAGAAAATATATAAGTTACTTACTATATAAATAAATATATACATAATGGACAATTGCTGTGTATGCCTTTACAGTCTTGCTTGACATAAATTACTCCTTAGAAACTTTCGATTTTCTCTTTTTATTATTTTTTCAACTCTATCATTAAGTTGAATTTACTTCATAAAATAAGCTAATGGGGATTCAAGTCAACAGACAAGCCAATACATTGACTGGGTTGGAGGTCACTGATTTAGATAGTCTAGAAAGAGGAATCATCATGTACAAATAAACAGTATAACCTGAAATCTTACATTTCATTTTTTCTTCCAAAGTTCCCCGAAGAAACAATGATAATCCGTAAATCCACTCTGACACACTTACACAACCATCGTTGTCTTTATCAAAACCTCGGAATACTAAGATGAGAGAAAGACACAACATAATACTTATGCTGCAATTTTTTTTTCTCAGTAATGAATCTGCTCCTAAATTTCAGAACCCTATTGTCCAACATTCTCAAATGACAAAGAAAGAAACTAAAATACTATAACATTAAGCACTAATTTCCCTTCATATATTTTGATAATAGGGGAAATTCTAAATATCTAAATACAGTGATCAATAATTATTAACAAGCAAAGGTGTTGATATATTAATATAACAGTTTATATTTTAGGACTATATCTTTTTTAAATAAATAAATAATTTTTATAATTCTACATTTTAGTACAATGCATGCTTTCTTATCTTGATTATAGTCCATGTGAAATTTTGACCAATTCACCCATGCACCATCACCATAGTCCCTTGTGTTTTTCCCACCCCTGTTTGCTTCTAATCCCTAACCTTGACCTGTCACACACACACACACACACACACACACACACACACACCACAGAATATCTCTGGTTTATAGTTACCTGTTGATTTTGATTTTTAACTTATTATAATTATTTTGCTTTTCCTGATCCATTATGTGGACCCTCTACATTCCTTCTAAAAGTGAAAAAAAAAAAAAAACATCAGGTATTTCTCTCTCTCTCTCTCTCTCTTTTTTTTTTTCCTGGCTTATTTCACTGAGCATGATCTCTTACAGCTCCATTCCAGCTCCATCCACAATTCTGTGGATTACTACCTCACATAATACACAGAAAACAATTTAGAGTTATATCTTAAATTTTATTGAAACAGTTCCAATGATTTAATAAAATTGAAATGTCCTTTAAACACTATTCTATATCACTGTGCAGAAGATCTTTGATATAGTCCTATTGTTAATATCATCTTTTTTTTTTTTTTCAAAAATTACTGAAGCCTATGTTGTAGTGCATTTTCTTCTATATATATTTATGCTTTCAGGTCTTATTTCCAAATATTTAATCCATTTTGAGTTAATTTTTCTGACTGGTGTAAAATAATGGTTCAGTTTTGTCCTTTTACATGTGGCTGTCCATTTTTCACAACAGCATTTACTAAAGAGGCTTTCCTTTCTCCAATGCATAATCTTGGCTCCTTTATCACAGGAACTGTTCATTAACTGTCCAAAGAGATGTGGGTTTATTTCTGGACTAAAAGCACACCTGGACTAAAAGCACACCTAAAAGCACGTGGGAGAAAATAATAGTACACCATACATCTGACAAGGGGCTGCTATCCAAAACCTGTGAAATACTCACACAACTGAAGAGAAAGAAAACAAATAGCCAAAAAGCAAATAATCAAACACATGGTCAGAAGAGCTAAATTAGCAATATTACAAAGAAGACAGATAGACAAAGGATACATGAAAAAATGTTCATTATCATTTATCATCAGGGAAATGCAAATCAAAAATGAAATGAGATATAATCTCACCCATGTGACAATAACCCATGTGAAAAGACCAGAAACTACAAGTGTTGGAAGTGATGTGCAATAAAAGGGAACCCTCATACCCTCATACACAGGTAGACAGTTACAGCATCTATGGAGAATATTATGCAGATTTTCCAAGTGTTAAAAATAGATTTACCATAATATCCAGCAATTCAACTCCTTTTTATTTATTCAAAGAATGCAAAAATGGTAATATAATGAGATAAATACACTCTGATATTCATTGTAGCACTATTTACAAATAGCCAAGTTATGGAAACAGCCTAAGTTTCCAAAGATAGAAGAGTGGATTAGGAAGATGGGGTATATACACACATACTTAAAAAACAAAATGAATTCATACAATTTGACATAATGGGAAGACTGGAAGGGAAAATGCCAAGTGAAATAAGTCACAAGGAGAAAGACAAATAGTGGATGGTTTCTCTTATATGTGGGATACAGAGACACAAAGCAGAGGTTCAGATTAAATCAAGTCAATAGCCAATGTTATAATCTGACTGTAGAATTGAAGCTACAATACAGAAATGGGAGCAGAACAGCACAGTGAAGAAGGGGCATGGTGGATTTTGGTGAAGGACTACAGCTGCCTTAACGCTAGATGAGTTGTGATACATACATTTGAAGATAGTGATCCTAAAAATTAGATACATTTCTGTAAACCAACATTACCTTAGTGAAAAAGTTAAAATAATACAACTATTCTATTAAGGGGGAGAATAAAGTGAGGAGAGAATACAATAGACTATAGTGAAAGAATATTGGTGCCTTGATTGTGAGTGAGGTATAGTAACATATATCTGAAAAGGATTGCTCCTTTTCTTCTGGGACATATACAGAGTTGTTAACCAATGTTTTTTTCAATTAAAAAAGTATTAATGGAACTATTATTTTTATTATTTTACCAACTAAAAATGCACATAATTTGGATTTCTGATATAAAGGGAAATCTAATTATTCAAACAGATTTTATCCCCTTAGATTTCCAAATAGAGCTAAACACATAATATGATGAGTCGAATGGAAATGTAGAACATAAAGCTTTCTACCAAGGATGCCTGAACTCCAAACTGGATATATTTGGCCAATTTGGGTCTTCTATTTTCTTACCTCTGTCCAAAATCATGTCATCTGTCATTCCAAATGTCATGTGCAGGATGTTTCGAAATGCATTACGATCTAGTCCAATGACCACACCTGGCCGCTCTGTTACATCTCCCACCAAGTTATAGAAAAGACTGATAAGACATTTCACTTCAAATTTATTAACTGTGAAAGAATAAAATTGATAAAATGAAATGCATTTTAATTTTCAGTATCTGACAAAGACTGCTATTAAGAGGCAATACCAAACAATACTAAAGCCATCATTTATGTAGTAATTGACTAACCTGTTTTGAATTTCATGACCTTAAATTTAGTAGAAAAAGCCCTCCAAGTGGTAGAAAATGCCCTCCACTAAATGGTAGTCTTTCCTCCAAACTAAATAGTAAAGAAATTTACTTTTAGTCACATTTAGGAAAAAAAAATATAGTATTAACCAAATGACACAAACAATGATTACGGTGTTAGATCCTAAACTTTGCAAGGCAATAGAAATGTGATTCAAAGTAAGCAAAGTAATGTTTAAGAATGATAACTTCCCTCTGGCATTCTTATTTTAGGCATTCCTGAGTTTTACATCTTAACTTTTCCTGGAAATAGGTAGCAGTCCCTGAAAACCAGGCATAAATTTTCATTTCACACTAGTTTTCAGAAATTTAATAGTCATATTGAAAAGTAGAACATTTATTTTCCAATAAAGAAATGCATAAACTATTTTAACACCCACTGTAGTTGTTGTGGAAGCTGTGGAAACTTGGAGAAAGTAATTCTTATTTTTAAAATGTACACACACTTGTGTACTTGTCCATATACATAACTGCATGATGGCTGGTGTTTATTAATACTGAGTTCTGCTTGTGTTCTAATCTCCATTTGAGGTATGTAAGTGGACAGTATTATTGCCTGTCATAGGGAACATAAAAGTACATTCAAATATGAAGTATAAGTGGAATATAGAGAATAATTTATTTCAAACCAAAACCAAGTTACAGCTCAGTATTTTTAAAAAAACAAAGTCAAAACTTACACTTCATATAGAAGGGAATAGAATGTAGGTATGCAAAACCACACATCCTACAAGTCAGGGAACCTGACTCAATTTAAGATAACTATTTAAGTAACACAATTTAAGATAAACTTTGGAAAATAAATGATTTAGAAAATCAATCAAACAGTATAAATTTATATAATGGCTATAATTTTTTAAAAGTTGCTAACTGCTATAGAAAATGACATGTCAGCTCCTCAAAATAGGTAACAGAAATGCTATGTTATTGAATGATTTTACTTCTGTAAATATAATCTGATGGAAAGCAGGGCTAATATAATTGTATACCAATGTTAATAGCAACATTTTTAACAATAAACAAATGAAAAGCAACTGATTTTTCTATCCACAAGTGAATGGATAAGCAATACGTGGTATATACAAAGGAATATCATTCAGTCTTGATATTCGTTATACCGTGGAGACACGTGAAGACATTATATTGAATAAAATAGGCAAGACAAAAATAAGACGCATATTGTATGATTTCAACCTAGAGTGATAAAATTCATAGAGACAGAATGTGACTGTCAGGGGCTGAGAGAAGGGGGCGGGGGGCCAGACTGTATGGAAAAATGAATAGAGTTTGAGTTGGGAAAGTAGAAAAAATTCTGGAGGCAAATAGCAGTGATGGTTGAGGAAACAAAGCCACAGAATTATAAATCTAAGTTGATAAAATGAAAAGCTTTATGTTACATATAATTAACCAAAATTAAAACAAATATATTCTAAAACTAAGAAGAGCTGTTAGTGCTTAGGGAAGAAAAGTCTGCATAAAGAATGATGTACTGTGTTCATATAGATGAGAAGGGATGCCAATTAGGCATTTCTGTATCTCAATTGAAATAAAAATTAAAGGATATTAATTCATTACCTGAAGGATTGAAGATTAACCATTAGAAAACTTGTCTTACTGAAATGTCTCTTATATTCTAATATAGAATACTAACTAAAATTAAGGAAAATTCAGGAATAGATTTTCATTGTTTTGGATTTGTCTGAGTGTGTTCTGTATATTGTATCTGTAAAGAGTTGGTTAACTGTTAATCACTTAAGATTTTTTCTTCTCTTATTCTATACATTTTAGTCATTTCATCCTGGTGGGATATCATCTGGCAACTGAAAGAAAATTGAAATCCTATTTTAAAGAAAATGAAAAATGTTTACAATATCCATGATTTGTGAGCTATTTCTATAGAATTTATTTAGTAATCATCAAGGATTTTAAGGTTCACTTAATTTTTTTTATCAATAAAAAACAAAAAAAAAGAGGTGACTGTTTATTCTGCCATGTTCTGGTTGTTCACAGAATTTGTTTGCAATACATTGCAAAGTTACTGAACAAGGACTCAATCAAATTAATTATTTTGTATAGCTGTTAACTGCTATAAGTACTCATATAAAGAGACTATTAAAATATTTTATATATGTTTGAAGAAGAACTAATTTTTACCTAGAAATGGAAGAAAAATAAAAAACAAAATAAGATGGCAATGTGATAATGACCACAATACCTTAAGTCACATGATGCCATTTAGATTTTATGATATTTAAGTTCCTTATAACACCATAACTTTTATTTACAGCACCACTCCAGTAAGCATTTTTCCACTCATCACCTTAGATACTAAGGACAATTAGAAGACTTTAGATCCTGCAATATCTAGAACCACATAAGAATTATATTTTTTTCCTCTTTTGTACAAGGGGATGTTCTCTGGATTATTGTTTTATCTCATTTTTCTCAAGTGGTCAACACACAATTTATAAGCCTGCACATATGAATGTCTTTCTCGTGTAGGCCATATTCCATAGCTGAGTTGTCCAAATACAGTTCTGTTTTTCTATTTCTAGGATCGGCCCTCCATGGTGGCACAATGGGCTAAAACACAGCACTGTGAAGTTGGCACAGGCTGCTTTTGTGGAGTTTTATCCGGCCCTGGAAATGACCTACATGGAGCAGCAGACCTCTCCTGCCTCACCCGCTGCTCCCCTCAGCAGTGTACTTCATCAATCTGGCTGTTCTGCTCCCCACTCTGTCTCCGGTGAATCCTTTCAGTGCCCTTGCACCTCTGGCCTGTATGCCAGCTCTGTATTCATAAATAAATCTTTACCAAAAAAATAATAAATTCTAGGACTATCTTTTAAAATGTGCAGCTGCAGCAGAAATCTCTAATAGGTGCTCATCTTATCCCCATATAAAGTTTTCTTTGCTTGCAAGCGTAGAGTGGGTAACAGATTCTTTACCCAGTTTAGCTTAGCTGAGCTCCTGGGCTTCTAGACACATTTTCTTGCTCTAAGATACAGGCGTCTTTGCTCCTTCAATTAAATTCTCCTATGAAGTTCAGCCTCTGATAAATATCTAACTGTATGGGTATCTTGGTAAGTTTCCAGAACATAGGACTTGCCAGTTTATTTGTTCTAAAAAGAGCTAGCAAGCAGGTATTAGTTGTTTATATTACTGACCTTGAGTCTAGTGTTTCTAGTATTTACACCTGTGTTTGAAGTTAAACCCACATGTGTCCTGTGGATAAATGTAATATTTTGATAATGTAAGCTAATGTAAAAATAAGGATAGACACCACTTAACAACTGTGAGAATGAACCCATAGTCAAAAGAACAACAGCAAAACAAACAAACAAACAAAACAGGAGCATGTGGAGAGGGTGTGGGGAAATAGGAAAGCTCACACACTGTTGGTGGGAAAGTACATTTGCCCACCCTTATGGAAGACAGTATAGAAGTATCTTGAAATGTTAAGAACAGGTCTACCATACTGTGTAGGAACTCCACTCCTAAGTACCCAAGGGATGCAGAAATAGTAATTTGAAGAGCTATATGCACTCCTTGCAGCACTATTTAAAATGACCACTTTATGAAAACAATGTAACAAGGTCAGAAGGATAAAGAAATGTGGTAGATATACAGAAGGGAAAAATACTCAGCTATAAAAATAATGAACTCTGGTCATTTGATAATACTGGTGGAATGGAGGGGTTTATACTAAGTGAAATGAGTCAAAAGGAGACTGGAATTTAGAGACATACAATAAAGGAACAGATAATAGTAACCAAAAGTAGAAAAACAAAATACGCTTGAAATCTGATTGGAGAATGAGGCCACCGCCAACAGGGCAGAGGGAGGGAGAAAGGGAAAGTACAGAAGGGGCACCATGGACTAGGTGGAGGGCTATGGGCATTTTCTTGGTGGGTGTGGTGTGGTAACGTACATTTTAAAATGTATTTCTACCTCTAGATCATACGCCATGTAGCAACCAACCATATGCAGTGTTACAACTTGTTAAAAAAATACAATAAAAATTAACTAAGTAAATGCATAAGATTGGAAAAAAAAATATGGAAGTGTGGCAGTGGATGCCTGGATACCTGATTACAGTCCCTAAATACCCTAAGCAGTTGTGGGTGCCAGCGCAAGGTGCTAACACCCGAGGGACACAGGGTGGGGCTCGGGGATTCCCTTCAAACATTTCTTTAGTGGGTGGGAGTAGAGGGCGCTCCACTGGCATTCAGGTTCTGAAGGCAGGGACTATGCCTGAGGGTAGCACAAAATAGGGCACTAGAGCTGGTCCAGGAGCCCCGCCCAGCACTTGAGTTTTACTTACAATGTTTGCAATTTTTAGTTAAGGTGTCTGTCAACTTCTGCAGCTTCTTGCGGTTCATGCCAGGCGCTTAGAAAATCCAGCCTCCGCAGGTGTGTGCAGGCACGTGGGTGCCTGGACCCTCGCGTGCCCGGGTTAGAGCCAGGTCTCCACACTAGGGCGCGTGGGCGGCCTGAACACAGTCTGCCATGGCAACGTCTCAGCCGGTTGCTGATTGGCTCTCGGGACGGCGGGGCAATGCGTTGCTCTAACACACAACGTGGCCATGGCAACGACTGGGCTAGCAGCCAATTGGTTCCTGGGACTAGAGCACTCGGCCCCATTTGGAGAGTCCCAGCCAGGCGTTCTGCGGACTGTTCAGATTGCTGACGTTGGAATTTTAATTTTCAGTTTCTGCTGCCTTTTGAATTCACAGAGTCTTTGATTGTACTGTAAATCATCATGGTCTAAAAATATGTTGTGTACGCTGTGTGAGGGATGTTTTGTGTGGTAAGCATTACACCACGGGAGGCTTAAGGCATTCAGGGAAATCTGGGACCTCTTAGAGGAGCTTCAAGAATATGCAGGTGTGTTATCCAGAGGATTGTTTCACCAACTGCAGGAGAGTGAGGACCTTACTTATATGTGTGTGTGTGTGTGTACATGCATGTATATGTATGTATACTTATAAGAACTGTAGTACAGGCCAGAGGTGTGGGTGTGAGAAAAGTCAACATAGATAGAGTTAGGGTGCAGAATAGGCAAATGGGCTGAAATACACTGCTGAAGGGAGGAGCAGGTGAGACAGGAGAGGTTTGATGGGCCACATGGATCACCTTCCTGGCCAGGGATCAAATTTGTGCTGCAGTGACTACAGGTACCTGCATAGTGCTGTGATTTAACCCCTTGTGCCACCAGGGAGTCTGGGATAAGCTACTCTTTGTTGTCAGTTCTTTTACTAAAATGCCAGAAAGGAGTCTGGAACAAGGTGCCTTTAAGTTTGTGGTGATGTTAATTGAGAGCAAGAGCAACTCTTTCCACTCCACTCCCCTGTTTTCCTTTCTTTCTTGGTGGTGAGACTGTTAGTGAAAGCAGGGAAAAACCAATGACATTTTTTAAGCCAGTTAAAGAGGCAGCCCCTTATAGAAACAGGCTGACAACCTGTCCCTTGGCTATGGGGTACAGCCCAACCTTGCTTTTCTGGAAAGCATCCCAGCAAAATGGATCCTTTGCTTATTTGAAAAGCAGTTTAGTGACTACCAACAAAGGAAACCCATTGCATCTGTAGTGTAAAATGACTTTTTTTCTCTTCTTAACCATAGATGAGAAACTTTTTTTTTTGAATTATAAGATAGCAATAATATGGATTAGCTCGACCAAGAAGTATTCTTTAGATGGGAAGAAATTCATAGGGCAGAATGCCTTTGACTACAAACTATTTTATAGTATGCATATTGTGTTCCTTAAACTGAAAGCAGAAAAGTTCTGCCAACAATAAGTGAAAATCCAAAGTAAAGTAGTTTTAGTGTTGTGGTCTCTGATTCCTCTTCCATGTTATATCTGATTGTTGAGTGAAGACTTGGGATGCTATTTGTAACAAAAATCAAGAATGTTTGTTGAATGCAGGAACTGTATTAAGAAAATTACCTAGGAACAATATGAAATGATAGTGATTATGAAATTTTAACAGTTTGCTGATTAAATAATAGTTCTGTGTGTCCTCTAGTCTAGCACCTGCCACACCCCTATGGAAAGGACTGGATATATTCTTACACCCACCTGTGAAACATCAGTGGTTTTTGTTAGATTATGGTGTTGAGGGCACCAATAAAGACTGTTACAGGGCTCATTTCAGAGTCAAGGAGCCAAAAGAGAGGTTGTCAGTGGTTAATGAGAGATGCCTTGGGCCCCACCTGTCTAGTGCAGATGTGTCTGTCAAGAACCATCTATTAGGTGTGCTGTACTGACACCTTGCTGGCACAAGTTGGGAAGCAGATTTCCCTTTGTGGGAAGCACTTTGATAGGTGTGTCCAGATATCTTGACAGAAATTGTACACTGGGAGATAGTTGGGGAGCACCCACAGGTGAGCCAGCATTTAATTTTTTAAGATTTATTTATGCATACAGGAACTAGAGTACAGACCAGGGTCGGAGGGATGAGAAAATTCACTAAAGCCAGAGTGCAGAACAGAACAGGTCAATTGACTGAAATACACTGCTGTAGGGAGCAGCTGGCGAAACAGGAGAGGTCAGCTGTGGCATGTGGGTCAGCTCACTGGTGGGGGTTGAACTTATTCTGCAGTGGCTGCAGATAGCTTCATAGTGCTAATATTTAACCCCTTGTGCCACCAGGAAGTACCTGAGCTAATCAGGTCTTACTTCATAAACTTCAAGCCCAGGATCCATTAAGCATGTTTTCTTGAAGTGGAAGAAATGATGTAAGGGGAATATCAGAAATAATTGAGGTTAAGAATCAAATCTCTTATTTCAGGCAAAAATTCCTTAACTAGTTAGGAAACTTTTGTCAGTTACACTTTTGTCATTCTCGCTATTACCCTTGTCCTTCCATTTGTTCTCAACCACACAATTATTTCTTCCATGCTGTAATTTAAGCAAAAAATTTCCAAATGCATTATTCTGGGAAACTCACTTCTCTAGGAGGATGGGCTGCAGAGTTGACTTATGTAAGGCCTTGCAAGTCTTTCTTAATGAAAGCACAGTATTTATTTGGAACATAGTTTGTGATGTATTTGTAAACTTCAGAGTATTCATTACATTCCTGTGAAGTTTTTAACTTGGTGTATTTAAGTGTTAGGAAAAAAAACTATAGGCCTCACAGAGTCAACTAATCATTTCTCAAAACAAACTGACCTTTCCATTCAGTTTTTAGTTGCTTATGTTCACAAAAGTCAGAATTACTTTGCCTCAAGGCAAGGCTTTTCCAGAATAAAACAATTAGGCCTGATTAGTTATACCATGTGAAATTAATCAATAATGGAATAATAAAAAAAATGTTTAATTTGTGCCTCACACAAATTTTACATGTACAAAATGATCTTTGCAAAATTCAAGTAACTTTGAGATGGATACTTTTGTAAATATTAAAGTACATTGAAGTGACTATCAATGCTATAAATGTCCTTTAATTTATGTGCAAAACAACCTTCCCTTGACTTAATATTAATTGAACTTTTGCCATAAGTGGCTTAAACTTTAAATAGGTAAAATTGGTGTGCTTAATGTGCACATTGAATGATGACTGCATTTGGAAGTGGTTTAGGGAATGACACCATCAAATTGACTTCCAAATTTATTATAAATCTATTATGGAATTATTTAATAAAAGGAAACTATGTTAGTTATCCACAAAATTTAAATTCAATTTTACTAATTTTATTTTGTAGAGACAGTGTTGAGGTATTTTAAGATGATTTAGCTCAGCATTTGGGTGATTGAATCTCTATTGTTCTCTCTTTCCACCCCTCTTATTTCCTGACCAGAAGTCTACATATTCCTCACTTCGTCTTCAAAGAACATTTGACATCCCTATACATTGGATCACTAAATAACAATGAGCTGACTTAAAATTTTTCAACTTTGTGATTGTGCAAAACAATATATTAAGAGAAACCTACAATGAATTTTAAAGTTTGGCCCTTTTCTGGACTAGTGATATGTAATGAGATAAACTCTCACGATGCTGGGCAGTGGCAGGAATCATTGTTGTCTAGTGATTGACATGCAATCACAAGAATAAACAACAGACACTATACATTACACTGAGTTGTCAGCATTTGTTCAGATATTGTGTTCTGTGACTTTGCATTCGATCATATCTGTTTTTCACTTGCAGTACAGTATTTACTAAATTCCAGGAAATTATCAACACTTTTTTTAGATTTTGCTTTAGACAATTTTGCGCAGCTGTATACTAACTTCAGAGTGGTGAGCCCATTGAATATAAGCTAGGCTAACCATGATTTTTGGTAGGTTAGTATATTAAATGAACTCTGACATAAGATATTTTTAAATAAATATATATTTTTTAATTTATTTATTTATGCATAGAGAACTGGGGTACAGGCCAGAGGTGCAGGGACATTCACCAGAGACAGTAAGGAGAAAAACAGGCCAAATATAGTGCTGAGGAGAGCAGTGGCAGGTCAGGAGAGGTCTGCTATGCCAGGATCACCTCCCTGGCCCGGAAGCAAACTCTGCTGAAGTGGTTTTAGCTTTGTAGTGCTGTGCTTTAACCCACTGTGCCATCAGGGAGGTACATTTATTTATTTATGCATACAGAACTGGGGTACAGGCCAGAGGTACAGGGGCAATGAGAGGATTCACCAGAGACAGAGTGTGGAGCAGAACAGGTGGACTGACAAAGGACATTGCTGAGGGGAGCAGCAGGAGGGTCAGGAGAGGTCTGCGGGCCATGTGGTCACCTCCCCGGCAGGCGGGGATTGAACTCATGCTGAAGTGGCTTTAGCTTCTTAGTGCTGTGCTTTATCCCTCTTTGCCACCAGAGAGGGCCCGACTTAAGATATTTTTAGCTTAAGATTAGTTTATAAGGAAGTAGCCCCCATTTTAATTCAACGAAAATCTGGATTTGTGTTTCTTGATAAAAAAAGCTAAGGTTTATATTCTCCTATTTTCATAGTTTCTTCATGATAGTAAACCTTGTAAAGATATCAGCAGTTGACCATATTTGATATAACAAAGCACTGCAATCTCACATGAATTTACTGTGTCATATCTTTTCATTTTTACTCAATATTTCAAGTTAGCTAAGTAAAATCAAGATTTCATCTTTAAATTTAAAGTGCCCACAGTGTCCTTTAGTCACTCCAAATCCATATGATGCTGTGCTTAAATCTGTAGTATGTGAAGGGCATGTGTTTGGGATATTTTTCTTTCAACTTTTCTCTCTTTTTGGTAGGGCACATACCAAATGGCTCTTCCAGGACAAACTGAAACAAGCACTGCTCTCTTACCTCTGCTCAAAGATGAATGACAGAAAAAAACAAACAACAACAACACCAAAACCCTAGTGTTATATTTCCAGACTTAAAATTATTATTAAAA